CAGGAGCAGGAGCAGGAGCAGGAGCAGGAGCAGGAGCAGGAGCAGGAGCAGGAGGAGAAAATCACAAAATATAAAGACCTGCAGATAGAAGTAGAACAACTATGGCAAAAGAAAGCAAAGGTAGTACCAATAGTTATAGGTGCCTTAGGTGCAATCCCAAAACATCTGGAGCACCTCAAGAAATATATATAATCTTACCTTCTCCAGCATTAGCCTCACAACAATAATCCTGTGAGTTAGGTTTGACTAAGAGATAGTAACTTAGTTAGTTTTCATGGCTGATGCAAGGCTTGAACCTGGTTCTCCCTGGTCTTAGTCCAATGCCTTAACCACCATACCATGCTTGCTCTTAGAATATCATTTATCTAACAAGCAACACTGTTCCTGACACTCAAGCCCTGATCTTTCCTAACACCTGTTATGACCTCTGGAGGACTAAACCTGGAACTCTCTGCATGTAAAATACATGCTCCTTCATTATGATGTAATTCTCCTGTCCCAACCCTCTTTCCCACATATTTGCACTGACGGTAGTCTTAAATCATGTGGAAAAACTTGGAGGGCTTTTCTGCACCATTCTTTCAGAGAACTGATGCTAATGCAATCAAATCTTTAAATGGAATCAACTTTCTGAATTGAATTGGAAAGCTGAATGCCTTTGAATTGATTCAACAATTTAGAAGGGCAAAGCCATTTGTTTCAAAATCAGTTAGGAAAATTGAATTGACCTGAATCAATGCTTCAAATTAACTCAATTTTCAGAATCTAGTCAAAACACTGAATTAGATGGAATAAATCAAAGATCAAACTGAATCTTATCTGCAAACCCCTAAAATCTCAATGCATTTTCATAGCATGTAATCTTTCTGAAATCCCCACATTACCATTTCCTCCAGAAGCAACAGCACTTTTATGGCAAATGTTTCCACTATTGCACGAATAAAAACAAAAATCAAGTGGTTTCGTCCTATCCTTCTGATAGGCTGATTATCACTGGCAGGCATTAGCTAGCAGTGGGAAAGAGGATAATAAACCCATCACAGCAAAATGTATTAAAAGGTACAATCAGTCCACCATCTACATGCCGAATAGCATATTTCCATTTCAAATATGAATCAGATTGCACTTTGAGTCCTTCATATTTTGACACATTATCTTGGGGATTGTGCTCCCTCATGAACCATAATCAGTATTCTCCTTGAGACTATATCTTCTGGATGAGCATTTTGATGTTTAAGGAAATTGGGCACTGGGGCTTTTATTCAAAACTAGATATGGCATCTAATGTTCCTGTTTTGATCACTGCTCCAGTAAACACAGAGATTGTTTTCTTTTTCATTCTGCAAAATACAGAATTGGAATGCTGTACTCTATTTGCAGAACACCACAATAAACCTTTTTTATTAAAAAAAAAATGGGCTAAATTAATGAGACACTTTGTATCATTAAACTGCACCAAGGCATCTTCAATGGAGTGCTGAACACTAATTAATTGAACGTGACAGAGACGGGTCCATGCTGGAGTCTCTGTTAACATATAGAGCAGAACCTCAAAGACTTTGGAACTTGACATTGAAAAGTGGAGCAGCTTGTATGCATGCCTTGTCTATTTTTTAAAATGACATCCAAGTGTCATGTTCTTTTTAGACTCGATTTGAGAGGGTAACAACTGAGGACGGCTGATGGACAATGAGATGACTGGATTAGAAATGGTGTATTGTTAGAGGAAGAGTGCTGACACTTGGGGGATGGGAGCTGTCATGGGCTTGTCTAGGATAAGGCTCAACTCACAGAAGTAGCCGTTTGCTAGATCAAGTCTTCACCTGCAATTAGTTGATATTGACAGATGTTAGATTTATGTTTCACCATGGGTGGATCAGTCCCTGGTCTCAGTGAGGCTCATCACCTTCCATAACCTCCGTAGGGTGAAAGGACCAGTTACAATGATCTGCTCTTTTATGCATTTAGTCTCATGACTTTTCTTGGATGGATTTTTAGCTACCCCATATCTCTAAGAAATAAATACTGTATAGCCAAAAGTGAACCCCACACAAAAGCTTCTGTACTTGAAGCAGTTGTCAGCTGCATGCTTTCCTACTAGATACCTTGTTCCTTAATTATCATCCCCCCAAAAAGTGGAGATTAGGAAAAACAGCACTGTCATTCCTTTTAACCTGACACTGCTAGTTTTATTTGAAACAGAGCTTCTGGAAGGTGCAAGTCTTGTCAAGTAGATTCACAATCATTCTGGAAGCAACAGGGATCTCAATTCTTTCTTCATCATCCTGCCAGCTGGCTAGCTGATAAAAAGAGCTCCCACTGAAACAATACGAGGAGGTAGGAGTTTTTGCTGGAGATGTCATGTATGTACCTGTCTGGAGACTCCTGTTTCATTGAAGGTAAGAAAGAAAACCCAAGCCCAAGGAGGAGATGACAACAGTGAAGAGGAATGTCGAGAGAGAAAGCAAGCAAGTAGAGGCAGTTCTCAGCTACCTGGAGGAAAAGAGAAACAGTCTTGCAACAAATACAGTCACAAGTAAAACAGAAACAGTTTGACAAAGAGTTAAAGGCTGACTTATCCATCAGTCAACTAGAAAAGGAATCTGCAGAGCGAAGTAGAACCATGGCAGAGAACTGGGAGGGAAAGTGACTGAAAATGAAAGGATCCTCACTAAAGCATTCCCAATGGTTTAGCCTCCGCTCAATAGATCCAGTGAATGGGAGATTTTCTCTGTGTACTTACTACCATTGTCCAACTGCTCTTATTGTTAGGAAATTATTCCTAACATTCCTTCTGAATCTGTCTTTCTGCATCTTCATGGGATTATTCAGCATCCTACACTCTGTGATGACAAAAAGGCTGGTCATGACTTTCTTCTCTCCTTCAGATACTTGAACAGGGTTCCCTTCTTTTTTTTCCCCCCCCAAATGTTTTTACTAAGAATTATAAATGAAAAGAATAAAGGCCAGTACAAAGTACAAAAAACACAAACAGAAAAATACAAAAGAAAAAAAAGGGGGTAGAAACAAAAAAAGAAAGAAAAGAGGAAAGAGAAAAGAAGTGGCTTCCTCCTTCATCCCAGCAAGGGCAACCAGATATAACTATTTTCATCTTTTAGCCCTAATCAAACAAATCAATCTTGTATTCCTTCCCTGAGTTTTTAAAAATATTCTTTAATCCCTTCAAAGAGTGTCCCAGAGGTAGTTTGCTGGTCGTCTGTGACTCAAGGCAAAGATCTTTCAAAACTTTAACAAATTTCTTTTGTATAGCCAATAAGTAAAGTTTATCCTTTTGCTTGTCACTTGTAATAAAGTCTTTCAAAACCTTAACAGAGCTCTTTTGCATACCAGTAAGAAAAAATTATCCAAATCAGTTTCCTGGTTTGATATCTGTATATCTCCTTTAGGGAATAAGTCATCCATCAGATCCATTTGTGTTACATACAAGTCTCCCTTCAGAGTAATTTCATAGACATCCTTTGCAGCTTGCTCTTGTTCTATAACTTCATTACAATATGCTCTGTCCATTTTATCAAGCAATTGATCCATTTTATCAAGAAGCTTGGTAAAAAGATATTTAAAAATTTGCAATATAGATTTCTGCTGCATATTCTTTATCGTCTAGCTCCGTCTAGTGTCCAACCTTCAAGGTCTCCTTATCATGAAAAAGCCAAAACAATCATAAGCAATTGCTATTTTCT